GAGCTGGTATAATTTTCGAAGGCGTCAATACCATGAGTGGCAGGTGGCTGAATTTTAAGGAGATTTGCCACGGTCTCCAACCCTCCTCCTTTCTCATCCGGGCTTGGCACCGGCCATGGCGGAGTTTTGAGATTAGTTAGCTTTCATAATACCAATGGTCAGAATCTACTACGTAACAGCATCTACATATGTTCAAAGATGTTTATTTTAGATACTTTCTCGGCTAATACCAGTGAAAGTCGTCACGGAGAGTATCGTTGCATGTCATGACTGCTCGGTTGCTCTCTGTAGTTGGTGCAGCGGTCTGAACTCGGTCAGATATACTAGATCAGTCTTTGTTACTTTGCTGTTGTTCGATGTTGCCACAGCCACAAGTAATGCAACTGTCTTCTTGTACATATGTCAATTCTGATTTAGCTCCATAATGCTTGATTAAAATTCCAGGGCCTTATCATTTTCCATTCGTTGATAAAAAAAGAGACCCCAAGGGAGTCTAAGAATGACCTATGCGAGTGCCTCGGCGGTCTGTGATCTTCACATATAAGAAGGACCAGTCGAGTAACCATTCGAAAGAGCTTTGAAAGTTAAAAGTTTTTTTGTTGTTGTGTTGGCAAGTCGCATACCTCAGAAAGATAGAATAAATGGTACGAACGATTAAATAATTTAAGAAGAATTAAAGAGGTCGAAAAATCGATCTACTTCACATTTGTAATGACAGGGATTACTGCACCGAATCGGACATTCCATCGATCAGTAGATATTATTCACGCAAATGAGTGGAGGCAATATGCTTTGCAGGCAGTGATGCTATAGAAAGTACGTAGTTTGTATTAGGATTACAGGAAGAAGGACCATTGAGAATTAGCTAAATAGTTATAAATTAGAAGGTTAAAAACTTATAATCTTTAAGTAGATTTAGTGGATTATATATTTAGAAGTTCGTAACAATCGTTGTTTATTATTGTGCATCTCTTTTTCCTAAAGGGAAGTAAGGAATAAGTTCTGAGTAACTTGACATTGTTTGATCAGTATTATTAAATTCAGATTAAAAAGGAAACTGAAGATTCGGCGCAAGATCACTTTGTCCAGATCGTGCGTGCATACATGTACGAGGAAGATGCGGCTCAATGAAAAAGTTTTTCTGAGACATCT